TACATAAGTTGATGTTAGTTAACAAAAAAAAACAAGCGGAAGTAATTAAGTTTCATTACACTGATTCAAATATAAATGTAAAATGGGATTAAAATTTATACTAATATAGATGAGTTATGTTTTCTCCTAGGATAATTGTTTCTAAACTAATAAATAGTAGTCTTAAGAATACAGATGACAATTTAAAAGATAAGATAACTCTCTTTTGAAGATTACTACAACTGATCATTAGTTTGCAAGACATTCATGTATACAAAAATGCATAGCTACTGGAGAGATATACTTCGATTAATCGATTAACTTTTAGTTACTTCATTGATTTACTATCAATGTCCATTTTAAAATACCCTGTAAGAAAGGTTTTTCGAATCATGTTATATTACGGTGAACAACATCTTATTAAAAGCTGAACTTCTTATATGTATCTATACTCTCCTTAGAAAAAGGATAATTGATTGATTCAAAGTATAATCCTACGAGATAACTTAGTATGTCTGAGACAGTACCTAAAATTAAAGCCACTGAACCAATTCCAAGAATCGTGCTGAAATATTCATCGGTGTTTGCGGTGAGAAATATAAATTCTGAGGTAATTGCACTGTTTGATTCATAAAATATATATAGTAACAAATATTGATGTGAAATATTTTATAAAGAATTCAGTTCGTCATCATAAAGAAGTCGTTTCAATTATACTTAATGGTATCACTATTTCGCAAAAGATGATCTAAAAGGATTTATTGAATTTAGATTGATAATCTACTGGAAAAGGTTTATTTTTTTGGACGATTTTTCCATATAGTGAAGACAACACGATAATTTAGTGAGACATAGATTTGTTTGCAATGATGGTTGTGGTTTACTAATAATAGATATAACTTAATGTAAAGTCGAGTAAGTTTGCAAATATAATTTCGTTTATATAGCTTCATTCATGCAATAGCCATGAGGTCTCTCTCATTTAACCATTATGAGGTCACTGTTTATCTGAGTAAGAGTAGTTTTATAATTTTTTACCCAGATATAACGTTGGAACGACTGTATCTCTCTTTAATGTTATTCAGGGAGACTTAAATAGTTTAAATATTATGCTAGTAAAGTGTCAGAAAAGATTCAAATATAAATATACTGAATAAATTAAGATGGAAAATACCAATCTACCTATCATTTTTAACCGTTTTGTTATTAAATAGAACACAACCATTCTGATTTCTGTAATGCAAATTAACTTGGAAGGATTCGATTTGAACTAGGGATTTGTCAGTAAAACACATACTAATATTTAGTGACAAATTAGTCTATAAACTTTATTTGATAGCTACTATCAATCTATTTTTTATCTTAGGAAGTTTTTAACAGAAAAACAAGCCTATGATTTTAGAAATTATGACAATTGTTGTCGTTAGTCGTTAAGTCAGATCTACACATCCCCAGTAAGTAAAAGAGTTGTTAGTTCATATTTGTTTTAGAATTATTTGCTCACTTTCTAGATAATTATATAAAATTTGTATAAGAATTTAAAATTCAATACATTCATTATGAGTCATATGAGTACCAGGGCCAAAATATGAGAATAGTATGAAACGTTTTAAATGGGAATTGTATGTATAAACCTGGAAGCGAAATTCGAACTAAGACCTCCTGATGGAGCTGCTGGATAGTAGGGGCAACCCTAATAGCCAACTTAGGTGGTCTCAGTAATCGGACCGATCATCAATTCTGTTGTACCTGATCGACCTAAGTTTTATCCTCAGGGCTTACTACTTATCTATGCATAAACCCGCTCAAAGTTTATAGTATGTAATATGTTTAAATGATAGAAAATTAACCATAATATGTTTTTACTTAACATGTTCAAAATTTATAGCATTAAAGATTTTTCAAACGACAATGACAGTTAAATATTTTGTTTGCTAATCAACACGCTTTATTCGTGGAACTTCAAATGCCTTGATGTTATTAGTGATGTAGATTTGAAACTTCACATTTTATACAATTTATCCAAAAAAAAACGTATCGGCTTTGATATTTGAAACTAACGTATCTTAGTTTCGTTGTAATGAGCCTTGCCTGGATTACTGATTCATGAAATCAATATATTTTTTTAATCATATTCTTTAATTTCGTTTATAAAAAAGAACTCATTGTAGTTAGATCTGCTTAGTCAGTTGAATAGTAATTGTTTCATACAATTTGAATTAATTCTAAACTAATGAAGGAATTATTTACATGGATTCTCAGCAATAGAAAATTCAAATGTTACTAAATAAACATATAAACACCACTCTTTATGCATAAATACATAACACACACAATACATAACACATCATTAATAAAGCAAGTACTCTTGGATAAATAATATAATGTATGTAAGTAATAAAGCCCTCCTATCGCATACACACAAACAAATGCAGAAAAAGACAGCCAGTGTAGCAGCAGTCTCTGTATCAGTAAGCGTCAACATACACAAGGGGAGAACCAAGGTTCTCAAATTCAAAGCGGAGAACAGCAATCCAATCACTCTTGATGGCGAAACTCTGGAAGATGTAGAATCCTTCACATACCTGGGAAGCATCATAGATGAACAAGGAGGATCAAATGCAGACATAAAGGCGAGAACTAGCAAAGCAAGGGCCACATTCTTACAATTGAAGAACATATGGAACTCAAAACAACTTTCAACCAATATCAAAGTCAGAAGCTTCAATACGAACGTCAAGACAGATCTACTGTACGGAGCTGAAACTTGGAGAACTACAGCCACCACCATCAAGAAGGTAAAAGTATTTATATATAGTTGTCTACGCAAGATACTCAACATCCATTGCCCGGATACCATCAGTAACCGCCTTCCGTGGGCAAGAGTAAACCAGCTTCCAGCTGAAGAAGAAATCAGGAAAAGACGATGGAAATGGATAGGACATACATTACGCAAATAATCAAACTGCATCACGAGACAAGCCCTAACTTGGAATCCTGTAGAGAAGCGGAAAAGAGGAAGGCCAAATAACACATTACGTCGGGAAATAGAATCAGATATGAAAAGAACGAATAACAACTGGAAGGAGCTGGAAAGGATTTCCCAGGACAGGTTTGGATGGAGAATGCTGGTGAGCGGCCTATGCTCCTTCACGAGGAGTAACAGGCATAAGTAAGTAAGTAAGTAATAAGATCTAATACTTTTACTATTTATGCAAAAAACGATTTGGATAGCTTTTCAACCCTTTTTGACCGTTTTTAAAAATAATTTTTTAACTTGTTAATTACAAAAACTAATAATCCAGCTATCCAACAAAAAAATATCATTGGGTTTAGTACACATTTACTTTAATGCACACCATCTTACTTCATTTGCATGGATCAAAGAGAAGCCAGTGGTAAGAATAGTTAATATTCGGAAATCAGTTTATTGAAAATTATAAAAATTATGAAAATATAGTATAAGAAAAAGGGGACGAAAACGTAAGCATGAATAAAATGTTTAGCGCTGAAGGATTTATTTAGAGTCATTTGATCATCATACATCGTTGACACTAGGTGTTTTACCAAAACCAATTAAAAAGTAAACTTATGCTTACATAACATAAAACGGCAGTTAGGAACTTTACGAATCAATACTTTGTTTGTTAAAGCTCTTACTAAACCTGTTCTACTGGTTTGCTAAAATGTCTTAAGTAGCTGATTAGTAGGACTGTGTATTTGAAGATCAAAACACTCACAGTTAAAGATAATTTCAAAATTCTTTAAATGATTTATTTTAGATACAAAATACCCAGTACTTGAATTTATGACAGTTATTGGAAAGAAATCTTAGATCAAATCAATTTACTTGTTTGAGTGGTTACATAGTACAGAATTGACATGATAAAGGGTAAAATTGTCACTTTTGTTACTAAACAAGAGGAGTTTGCCAGAACTAGGGCAGAATCCTGTTTACGTTAAGACGTCATTAAATGTTATTTGTGCGCTGGAGTTCAACGAAGTGTTTGAACTTTTCTGATGTGCTAGAATCCATTGGTATTCATACTGGATCAAATAGATTCATCGAACCTTTGTGTTTCGTTAGAAATCTATACAAAATTATATTTACTCACGCCATTCTAAAATTATGATTTCATTCGAAAACTATCATCATTATTGGGTGGTAACCATAAAAATACACAATAAGTATAAATAATTGTTTTCATTTCAAGACAGATTGAAGATTAAGGACTTTGAATAACAATTTCAATAAACAACAAAACTAATAACAAAAACAAACCGAAGAAATATATTTGAAGTTAAACATTTATGACAAGTAGATAGACAAGAGAGAATAAAGTTACTATCGTTCGTATTAATCTAATTAATATAAATAACCCACTTATGTTGTTGAGCATTATCACTAACTGATTTAAACAATGATATTCCATCATTTGAAATATATTATCATATAATTTTAATTGGAAATCCTACTTTGAAACCGAAATTAGATATGAATACATGATACATATATATAGTAAAGGATATATATAAGCTTAATTGAGGAATAGAAATGAGCAGGATCGTGAGTGCGCACTGCTGAGGAGTCTCACATTAGGACGAAACAACCATCCAGTGCATCCAGGTTTTCCATAGTGGTCTAGATTCAGTTGACTCATGATCTCAACCATTGAAATTACTATAATATCCACAAAACTCCTCTTTGATTGTGATAACAAATATGATCAGCTAAGTGTAAATATACACTGTTTTGTTATTAACGATCTAGTGACTAGTGTTAGAAATAGAGTTTGGACACATGGATAACATTCTCAGATTAACTTCAATATTGGAACAGTCTACATACATCCAAGTGTTAGTCAAGCTTAAACGGCAGTTAATAAACAAATCCGTACTCTGATTAATCGTGTTTAATGTATACACAAGGAACATTCATCAGTTCGAGTTTTCTTCTTTTTTTTCAAAGGATTTTTATCCAGAAATACATTCATTACTTTAAATAGTTCAAAATCACTTACCTACATAACATAAATGTAAAATGAAAATTCTCATTGTTACATTTAAAACAATCAACATATTTTCTATCATCTTGTGCATCCTTTCTTTGTATAAAAAAATGTATTTGAATATAGAGAACTAGTTTACATTTGTCCAATAGAATAAACTTTGTATTACTATAGTCTATAGTCTGTATTTTTAATTCTGATCATATTCATCCTGTACTAACAATATAAACACTTATATAACATGAATTACTTAGTTATTCAGAAAGAAACTTTAATTGATAAGTGAATGTTTAAAACAAAACTACTTATATCAGCTTGTAATGATCAAATGTATCTATATTTCAAAAAAATCAGTATTTAACTGGATAGAGTAGTTAACCAATCAAAATGAACTACTTTTTTCTTTTTTTGAGAATAGAAATGACAAGCATTCGTTAGATGTTTACAAAATTTAAATGACCTAAAATTGGAGAATGTTGTTTCCATGTGTTAATAACTGGTTTATTTCTATTTCTATGATCCTTCTGATTACATTTAATCTGAATTTTAACATTTTATCTTAACATGCTGAGCCATCTTTTCCCAATGATAATTTCCCTATCTATCTTTTGATGAATATATAAGCCATTAACAATCAGACGATTATTAATTCCGCTGTTTAAAAAGAAAGAATTTTTTAATAGCTTTGTTTATTCTACCTCACTGTCACCACGTCTAACAGACGTTTATTGTCATTATTATTGTAATTATTATCATTCTGAAAAAATAAGTATATATATTTGCGATTGTACAGCTTTTAAAATGAATTATCCGAAAAGAGAACTCTTCGCTGAACCAATCTTTCTTATTTAATGTCTTAATGAGTGCATTCTGTTTAGTTAACAACAAAAGTTATGAATAACATGTATTGATCAGCATAAAACTACAAGATTAAATTTATCAATTAGGTAGTCATTACCACACTATGTTCAGTGACATAAGAGACATTTAACACAAATTAAAGGTATTGCAATAGATTCCAATTCAGTATACGTTTTAATAGTAGAATTTCAAAATAATAAGGGATTTCATAAAATCTAGATCATTCTCAGTTTTTTATAATCTGAGAAGCTGTGACCAGTGGAGTTCAACCTGGTCTGTGTGAGATAGTAACTCACTGAAGACAATGGTGGATGTGTCACTCTATTTCGTGGATTGGTTGAAGTTAGACATTGAAACCGTTGGATGCCGACCCAGTGGTACAGAGGCTAAGCTTAAATGCGCGGGACCGACAGGTCCTGGGTTAGAATCCCGCGAGCGGGATCGTGGATGCGCGCTGCTGAGGAGTCCCAAAATAGGACGAAACGGCCGTCCAGTGCTTCCAGGTTTTCAATTGTGGTGGTCTAACATCAATCGGTTCATGATCTCAATGAAAAACTTAACAATCTCCACAACCCCTATACTAGTAGTCATTGTACATTTATTATCGTTTCGAATGTGTGAATATGTATGCTTGAGCATTGCTTACTGCCTACGTATATATTCATTTTGCTAGCTTTACTATTAGTCGCTTAATTGATTCGATGATTCATTAGTTTCCCTATATATATGCATGTACATCTAATCCTACTCACTCGACTCATTCATTCGTCTCTCCTCTTTATTGTCTGAGCTATCTGCTAATCAACTGTAGTTACTGCTTCTCTTTGCTTTCTGATTTCAAACACCGTTGTGGTTTATATAATAACGGTCACGAGGGTGATTGCTTAACGAAGCACAGCCACTACGCTCTAATCTTGAGGGAACTGGTGCTCGCTGACGGATTTGATCCCGCGTCACCCAGCTTCACAGGTAGAGACGTCACCACTGAACTATCCGCGACTGACCTCCTGTGGGACTGAGATGTATTCGCAATTGATTGATCACTGGGTGGTGATAAATGTCATGTGTGTCAGGTCGCTCTTAGTGCAGATTAAATACTTTTGATCAAGTTGCCATGTGGCCACCTGTCTAGGTGACTCGACATTGCATGCACTACCTTTTAGAAATCCATAACTTGTGATACAGCAATCATTCAAGTTGATAGTTTTGAGTGTCATCAAATTAAAATTAGACATTTTCAGGCAAATCACATCTGTTATGTATTGGGCATTGAATATAAAAATTCTGTGTTACGATGATCGCTGTCAAATGATGTTAACGTTGGATGTCGTGTATGCTTATGTACAACATTCTACCTAATAATACATACGAACAACATATTCATCAGTTGCATTGACAGTATTAACTAAGAGAAAGCCAATAGTTTACGTTTATTTCCATTTTGGAAATATTTTAATGTGTGACACAAAACCAATCGAAGACAGGACAGAGACATTATTCTGGTTCTTTTAGAAGACTTTTTATAATATCATTTACGCAAGTTATACAAAGAAAAAATAGATTTAAGTGAATAAAGGGAGGTAGGTGTTTAGAAAGCATGTTCATCTGTGTAATGAAGAGAGAAAATCTTGTTAACACACTATTTCGTAGTCTGAACTGTATTATTCTTAGCACATTTTCTGAAACAATCTGTTCAGAATTTATCAACTTCTTTTCAATCATCATCGATTAAGTCCGTCATATAATCTGAAGTAAAACCAATAATTCACTTATGATTGGCATTCTACGCCAAGATATAGTGATCATGTATGTGTGATGTTAAATTATGCCATGTGAAATAAGTTAAATAAACTTACAGAATACAGCACAACTATTACGCTATTCAAAATTATTGCGAACATTTCCAGATGAATAGGGAATTTTCGATAGATCTTTTACTTCATAGACAGAAATTTTGACTTCGTCCTGGGATGAAATGTTATAATTTGCTGCTTTTTTCAAATTTAGAGGTTTAGACAAATAATTTTCAGTTCAGTGATTTCACTTTATAGATATTTAGATAGCTGCTAAGTAGGCAAAGTTGAATGTAATTTATTGACGTGAAATTTCTGTTTCTGACAAGTATGCGGCCTGGATATCATGGTATTAACTATAAGACAATAGCTATTTTGGTTGATTTCGGTTATAATATGTGTAATGGCCAATCATTTCACAGTGTGTAAACGAACACGTAAACTTCTCTAACTTACAGTTCAGTAGGATACAAATATTGTGAAGCCGATAAGAAGGCGGCAGCAGTCAGTTTGGCAGACAAAAATTTCAATAAAATGTTTCATGGTGTAGAGTATAATTCACGTTAAGTTAATACAAGAATATCATATCTCGAACAAACATCACACTCAAATAAATCAGTGTTATACCGAATTAAATATCACACTGGAACCGCAAAGTAAATACTACACTGAGCAAGCATCACATTGAATTAAGACGGAAGTAATGTTGACACAAAAATCACAATGAGTAAAAGAATGTAATTTTGCTTTTCAATCCCATCATATCATTATGGAATGTAAATTGTTAATGATTGTTATTGTCCACTTATTTATAGCGCCTTTTGTTGAGATCTAGCTGTTAAACATTTTAGCAAAAACAAGAAATGTACGCTTAAAATGTTGATAACTAAAACTGAATTCCATACTTTCTGTCAATATTCCTCAGAGATTTCGATTAAAATCTTATTAAGATTAATCGCTAACAATAGGGAATGAAATTTTGATTAGTGTCACATTCATTCCACATTTATTGAAACTCAAACATCGATTAGGAATAAGCGTGTTTTATCCGTCTAACATTTATGTGACTATGTGCTGTTGAAGCTGGTTGAAATATAATTCATAATTATTCAGTGATTTCACCAAAATAATACTTTAGTTATAATCACATTCATTCGTGGTAATCAAGTTTTCATATAGGGAAACTCGAAGAAACTCAAGCTTAAAAGAGACGTAGAAATGAATGTCAATGATGTCGTAATTATTTGCAGTCCCCTTGTAACCGTCAAGATTAAAGACAGTGTTTCTTGGTGTGGGCACTTTATAGCCAATACTTGTAATCCGAACCGTTTCGTCGTATCTGATATCAGTTCATGATGAAAACTGATCCTTAGTCTAAAACACAACATATCAACTAACTTCAGAATCTAATCGCAAATCCTGACTCAAACATTTTCCTGAATTGTAAGACGTCATTCTCAGGAAAATGTTCATTATTTGAGTCAGAATTCCTTATTATTCGTAATTTTATGACGGGCATTTGTAAAACGCCAGTAGTAACTTTCATCACGACTGAGATAACTTTGTGTATACCACCAGCAGTTAATAATTGATTATCCTACTCCAAATCAAAAAGAAATTTGACTAATCTTGCTTCCAGATTATTTGGTTAAATATCTGACTCCGATTCTAAATGTGGATAATTATCAATTTAGGTGTTTTGAACGAATTGATGTTATATGGCAATTGTTCACATATTTTCTCATTAGCTATTCATTTAATTTTATTAAACGACTTATTCGCTAACAACTCCTCCTGGAGCCCCTCCGAGGGCAACTGCCTGTCCCAAGGCCGAGTAAAGGAGGAGTGTTGGGCATGGAGTTAGCGACCCCATACCGTAAAACACTAACTCGCTAAAAAAAACGCTAACCAAAAAAATTATTCCAACCGTTCGAACCCTGCCTTGGGAGTCAGAAGGTCTTCATTTAGAAGAGTTGATACCTCGTGATGAAAGCCGCATGTATAATTGTAAACTTGAGATTAGTCAGTGCATTAAGTGCTTGCTCGTCTCATATCGATGTAACTTGTCCAGTTGCATACAAATGTTTCAAATCAATATGCAAAATGTGTCTAAGGAAATGCAAATGGTTAGTGACAATTCTAAGGGAATACATGTAGAATGTTGAAAACATCAACATTTTCAATCGTTTATTAGGTTTTAATTTTGAGTATAGTTCTATCAGTCATTTGGTTGGCAACAGTAGACTACTTAATTCTCGAATAAGTAGCTAAACCGTGTACTCCAATTAATTTGAAAACAAGCCTCAAGTTTAATGACATTGACGATAAGCATAGTGTAAAATGAAGAACATGAATGTGGACCCAATAATGAGCTTGCATTTCTCTTACAATGAACAAGAAAGAAAACCGGGATCAATCAACCGGACCAATCAATCGA